ACAACAGCATGTTCATTAACAAACACAGCATGGAGGTGGATATAAGGGGTGGAAACAGGACCCTAATTATGCTCATGAATTCCTCTTCTTTCTCACAAAGAACGAGAAGACTCTGCTTCCCCTGCAGGAACAGTGTCCTGTAGGGCTTTTATGAAGAATATATTTTCCCATTTGTCTATGAGTCAGTATGTGAGCTTGATCGTTGTTGCCCAATAAACACCACACGAATTCCCAGAAGAAGCCAACTAATAGGTACTTCAAGTGCAATTTTCTACGCGTGTTAAATGAGGAAGTTGAAAAGTTGGCCATTACGAGGTGCCTTTGGAGAGCAGGGGGTCTGCACAAAGACCTGAGGCCAACTCTGTCTTCTGATTTCAGTCTCATAAAAGAAGATGTATCCTATGATATTGCCCCTCTATACTGTACCGTTTTTCAATATTTTTTGCTTCAAAATTTTTTGAGTACTCATCTGTATTGTAATCTACCATCATTTCAACTGCTGATTTCCTTTGCCTAGAAATAAAAAGCCATACTTGAATTATTTCACAAATTTAAAACTTGAAACTAAGTTTTAAACATCTGTGGTATTTCTGATGGTCATTAACAGCTGAGACAGATGCCATTGCAAAGGATGCAGACTATGTCTCTACTTAGAACCTTTTATTCTTCTCTCAGTCAAGGCTGCACACAGAAAGTAGAAAAGTGTAACATGCAATAATGAAGATTTAATGTGTGTGCATGGCTAGAGTGTTTCTGGGTGATTATATTTTAACAAAAGTTAATGGCCAAGTAATGGGAATAACGAGCTGGAGTGGGAATCCAATAGAAGCTTGATGAGCAGAGCAGGCTTGTGATAGTGTGTCAGAGAGGACGGTCCCTGTGCAGTCACCACACTGAGGACTCCTCAAGTGCACTCATTTCAACAAGAAAATGAACAGGCGTGATAAAAAAAAAACCTAAGGAGATGTCTTCTGACAGACCACCTCAGAGATGATGTGTTAAAACACGGAGCCAGCATAATCTGTGTGTGGCCGGGGGTAGACAGGGAGTTAGGGAGAGAGGGAGGGATGAAGGGAGGGAAATCTTTTTAAACTTATCATTGTTAATACTGTGCAAGGGTGGAGGGAATGGGAGGTGGGGCAAATGTCTCTGTGTGCAAATAAGTGTGCAAGTGGGCATACAGATGTACATGTGGGAAGACAGAGGTTGACGTTAAGATTTTTTTCCTTCCATATCATCCACATTTTAAAATATTTTGACATGTATTCATTTGTTTTTGTGTTTGTAGTGTAGGGAAATACGTTCACCATAGTGTGTGTATAGAGGTTAGAGGACAACGGGCAGGAGTCTATTTTCTCCTTCTACCATGTGAGGTATGGGGGTGGTACTTTTATTACTAGGCTTAACAGCATATGCTGTTACCTGTTCAGATATCTCAAAGGCCTTCCACCTTTTTGACACAGGGTCTTTAACTGAATCTGGAGCTTACTAACAGATACGACTCTCTAGCCAGTGAGCTCCAGAAATCTCCTTGTCTCTGCCCACAAACTGTCCCAGCACTGAGGTCGCAGGTATGCACCAAAGCCAGGCTTTGATGACTGGGAAGCCAAGCTTTGATGACTGGGGAGCCAGGCTGAGGATTTGAACTCAGGTCTTCATGCTTGCATAGCAAGTACTTCACAAACTGAGCCATTTCTATAACCCCCATGTTTCCCCTTGCAACTCTCCACAGATAGCCAATTACTTTATATAGACTATAGAACTGATAAAAGAAGTGGAGATTTAGCTCTCAGATATAAAAACCTTACCAAGGCCTGGAAGGAGGTATAGACAAATGAGAACAAGCATTAATGCAGGAATGGATTGCAGGAGGCTGGCATAAAGAACAAGTTCACCAGGTAGGTCATCAAAAGGAATTCTGTAGTACCACAGAGTGACTCAAAGCTCTTCTCTTTCGCTGGGGTGTAGTTCAGTGGATAAAGACATGTGCTGGCAAGTCTGTTGACCTGAGTACAACCACTAGGACTCACATGGTAGAATGAGAAAACACACCACCACAAGTTGTCCACTGATCTACACACACACACACACACACACACACACACACACACACACACATGCACACAAGTGTAACAAATTTCTTAAATACATTTTTCTCATAAATGCTAAAGAAGGAGAGGTATTGTTGTTACACAAAAACCCATAGTTACAATGGTGGTGCCATCACCACCTCTGTGTGCCCCGCCTTTCCTCCTCTGCTGCTGCTTCTTTCTCTGCTTTTCTCTCCCTTCTCTCCAGGAAAGAATCACAATTATGACCTTTTGATAAGAATCGCATATTAACCTGCTATATACCAGCCAACTTACTTTCTATTTAGCATTTCATTCAACTCTCAAAAGTCAACAAAATTACTTGTTACTTTCAATGAGGATTACCCGTTTCTATTTTACGTGTATGAGTATTTTGCTTGTGTGTGTGTAAGTGTACCACATATGTGCCTGGTACCAGCAGAAGTCAGAAGAGGGCACTAAATCCCATGGAACTAGAGTAAAAGATGTAAGTCTTTATTCTATGTAGGTATTAGAAAACAAACCTGGGTCCTCTGGAAGAGCATCCAATTCTCTTTACTATCTCTTCAGCTTCTAGTGTTATAAGTTTTTTAAAAAAGAAGCAAGTTTAGTATTGAGCCCCACAGTCTGAAACATGAGCAATGGAACTGACTTCTTGTCTCACATCCCATAGTATTCTGCTATCTAGGATGGGAAAGTGACTTGCAATTGTGAGTGCCCCTGGCTTAAATGCAGCCATCACCATTAAAAGTGATGCTGAAATAAATCAACTAAGTAGCATTTCTCACCGACCAACCACTGTGCTACAGAGATGAGACAGAGGACACAGACAACTATTAAGTTTCCTAAGATTCATAATCCACTGAATGAATGGAGCATTCGAGGAAACTGTGATGACTCTCTATGGTAACTCATTGTCCATTCATGATAACGGTATTTTACTACTATGCCAACATTGGTTTTGTTCTGGGGATTAGACATGTGCATGGTACACCGCTGTGTCATAGTCCCAGTCATTGATTTGTAGTACTTTGATCAGGGTCTTGATCTGCTGCCCAGGATAAACTTTAGTGTGAGATCCTCTTCCCTCATACTAGTAAGTAGATGGGATTCCAGGAGCCACCTGGCTCAGCCACCAGTCTCAGAGTGGGAAAGGTCACTATTTGTCTGTAAGCAGAACCAGTTTGTGGTTTGAAATGGGTAGACTGGGAAGGAGAATGTGTTCAAACCTTGTTTTTCCTTGAATATGAAAAACACAAACATTTCACTTTGCGGCCTCCTTTCTGATCAGCATTTAAATGAGAAGTACTGAGATTTGAGAATAAATGTAGTACCTGAGCTCCATCTCATGATCTGAGTACTTAGGGGTGTATGGCACATCAGGTAGACAGAGCTGGGAAACCCATCAACTGTGACTTTCACTTTCTAAAAATTACCAAGTTCATTTTGTTTATATTATTGTACCAGTCAACTCCTATTTCTGTTACTACTGTTAATAGCTTCACTCTGGTAAAAAACCGATGCTGCCTAACTTTAAACTCACAGTTCAGTATTGCTGAACAGCTGAAGAGCACTCATGTGAACTGCAGTAAATAGGAGATGGTTCACAGGTTGCCTCAACACAAAATAAAATAATACATTCAAAATAGAATAGCTTATACCTTTTGATTTAGCCAAAGGAAAATTCTGGTTTAAGTTGTCGTGTACTCCTATACAAGACAGAAGAATTCTCTGTGAAACCAAGAAGCTCATTCTGACTGCTCATAACCACGTGATCATCCTAGCTAAACAAGAGGTCCTGCCTGTACCCCCTGAACACAATCATGAAACAAGACTCATCTAAGACTATTGAAATAAGCATATCTTATGCTTGCTGAGAGATCACTTTGTAAAGAAATTTCTCAAAAATTTAAAAAGAATTCCAAAGTTACTTATAAGACTCAACACCAGTGTTGACTTGAGTTACTTAGATATACTGGTACTTAACTTTGTATCTGCAGAACTTGTCAAATTCCTTATTTTATAGGTAAGATAAACACAAAAGTTCTTATACAATAATAAACACTGTTATGTTTCCATAGTAGATGTTTTAGCATTTCTTAACCAGTACCTCTAACATTACTGGAAAATGACCAGCAAAGCCTGGAACTTACTAGAACAGCTTGGAACTTGACAGAACAGCTCAGATAGAAGGTAGAACACAGCAGGATAGATTAATTCTCATTGTCTGGATTTTTTTTTTAATTGCCTCTTGATTTCAAGAGACAAACATCAATATGCTGAATATTCTTCTACAAAATTCACATCTGCTTATTGCCACCAAAGTAATCCTATTTTATTTTCATCCACATGATTAAAGCAGACATTGGCACAAACATCACATGGCACAAATTTGATCATAAAATGACTATGCAGAAGACCCGGAATATGTTCACATTATCTACATACCAGCATCAAATGAAAACACAGACTGTAAAATGATCACAGACAATATGTGGTCCACCGAAACGCAAAGCCAAAATGAAAAGAAAAACCAGCGAGTTTCATTTAAAATATAGTGAAATTATTACTGAGAGGCAAAGAAGTTGTTAAAATGGGATAGATTTTGTTAGGATCAGATATAGAAAAAAATCACATTTTAATTAGTTTATAAATCATCTCATAATCTCTGCCAGACTTATATACTTCATGTGTGTTATTCGTGACGTTTAAAACATGTATTTTTGATCTCAGTAGAGGGAGGAACTATTTGCGGGAGGCAGAGGGCAAGCAAGAGGAGGGATCAAGGAGTATAGGTTAGTAGGAGAGCAAGAATGCAACACCATGCTGCATATGCATGAAGGAATCTCGGAGAAGTCCATAACTGCATATACTACCAAAAATAAATTAATTTTGGTGATAAGAGATTGAAATTCAACATAAAGTTCTCACCTCTTGTTCCCTCTCACTGCCTTGTCTCCCTTCCTCCAGGAGATGGCTGGCTTTGGAGAGCCCTGGGGTTTGCACTCTATGAGCACTTCCCGGTCTTTGGTAACAATGATTGATTTCTTCACTTGATTCGGTTCAAAGGAGGGTGGTGAGGCTGTGGCAAAGAGAAGCAACTTCCGTCAGAGGCAATGCTGAGAATTAAAGTTCATTCATCTGTGTGTTCAATTCCTTTCTCTGGCACACATTTCTCTTAAAAATCTCACAAAAGGAATATGTCACTAGCACGAAATTTATTAATTAGGAGAGATTTCAGTGATTATCTGTTCACTATGAGTATATGGTTTCAAATAACTTGGATCTTACAAATGAGGACTTCTTCTGTAAGTGACACTCATTCATGCTTACCAAGGTCAACTGTGGAAGACTGACAGTCACTTAGACATTAGTTAGGAAGTCAGCCAAGAGAGTCAACTTCGGGTTTCTGTGCAGTGATAGACTTAAATTCTTGGCAAGAAAATTTTTTACTTCCATTTCCCAATTTAATTGAGCCCTTCTGACGTTACTTTAGAATTATACAGAGGTGACTGCAGTTTTCATAGAAAAAATTCTTTAAAGAAATGGAAGTTTATGAATTATAGCTAAAAATGTATTTCATTTGTCTCAATTACTCATCTAAATATCATCATCCATTAGGATTTACCACATTTGTATTAAGATCTTTTCTCTGAAATAAGCAAGTATCTGAGTGAGCAACTGTTTACGCCAGCTGGACCTTTGCATATCTCTCAGCAGTAATTTATGCTCACGTTAAAGCTATATGATGCAGGACAGGGCAGCAGTAAAGTGAGACATACATTACAATTGAAGCCTGTCAAAATCTTGAAGTCAAGCAGAGGAAGGCATGGGAAGATCACAGGCAACAGCTTCAGCTGCCCTTGGGATTGACACATAACAGGTATGAAAGTATGTCTATTGAGTAGAAGGGTTTGAGACTGTTTCTGGGAAAGCTCTGAGGTGACTGAGGCTGAATCAACCTTTCAATTCTGGACACTGAAACACATGTTGACAAGAAACTACTTTAACATTTGATTTGTTAAGATAAAGAAATTGTGAAGGAATCCTGTATCTATTTGCTGTGATTTTTTTGTAATATTGAGCAATTTCAGTTGTAAATATTCATAACTGAGTACGTATGATGTATCACATTTAGTTTATATGTAAATGGTACCTTTCCATGTCCCAGAGACCATGTATTTTTCTGTAAATGTTATGTTTAAGAAGGCTCTGAAACATACTGTGAAGATCGTGTTAAGATCACTTTAGTATTTTTTTGTACTGCAGCCATCCCTGAAGAACGCTTAGGGACCCATCTAAGTATTACAGTGCAGGTATTCCCAGTAACCTCAGTATTACTCTGGGACACCTGGGTGAAATCCTTTCTGAAGTATTCAGCAGTGGTCTTAAGGTCCTGTCCCAGGTCCAATCTTAGCAAAAGTGGAGCTTTTTATGCTTGTCCTCTGGCCCCCCAAACAGGCTTTTCTCTCCAATGCAGATGCCTCCGAGAGGGGGCTATTCACCTTGGTGCTTCTTTTTTGAAGTATCAATTACATAATAGTAATTAGAACTATTTAGGAGAACATTAACATTTCTATGGGAACAGGACAAGCTGACCAAATAAAGGATCCCTGTCCTTTTTAGCTTTGTCAAATTGAATCAGCCCAGCATTCCCAATGAGGAAAACCTTGGGTGAGAAATTGCTCAGAAACGATTGGAGTGTGCATGCGCATGTGGGATTGTTGTGATTATTAGGTGATATAAGACGGCCCGGCTCACTGTGGTGGCACCAGTCCTAGGCTGATGCCTCTGTGCTGTGTAAGAAAGCTAACTAAGCATAGCCTCTTTGAGCTAGTATGAAGCGTCATAGTTCCATAGTTTCTGCTTCAAGTTCTTGCTTGAGTTCCTTCCCCGATGAACTGTGACCTGGAAGTGTCAGACAAATAAACTTTGCACCCTTAAGCTGCTGTGTTAAGGTGTTTAAACACAGCAAAAGAATGGAACTGAGAACAGCCTCATTCACACCCTCTGGGCTTTCTCCTGTGAAAATTAACATATTCTCCTTCATGATTTTATTCTCTGCCATAGCAAAGACATCATATCAGCCCTTTATGATAAAGACTAAAGTCATGCACATAAACACAATGGGAGAAATTGCAGAAGGAATATCACCATGATACAGTGCTTCTTTTCAAGCCAGAATATGGATTTTAGAATCACATCATAAAACTTCAGTATAGTTGGAATAAAGGGAGGAGAAGAAAGGCAAACTTCTTTCTTCTTTATTTATCGAAAAACTGCATACCTAGAATCTTCAGCTCGGCACTGGCATAAATTGCTCCATATTTATTCTCAGCCAAACACTGATACATCCCAGCATCTGATTGATTCACACTATGGATCGCCAATACTCCATTAACTGTGTCCACTCTGCTCTGTAATGGCATAAAAAGAAATGAGACCTAGAAGGCAAACATCTCAAGCGAACCATCCACTTAAATCTCAGTGATAACTCAAAAAGGGTCTCTAGTTAACATAGTTAACATCATTCTGTAAGTTAATTATTTAATACATATTTTGCCTTTTAGAGATCAATTATGATTTCCAATTGCCTTTTGGAAATCAATTATGATTTATTGCTCAATAATGTTGTTTCTTGTCTTGAGACAGCTTTGTTTGGTAGATTAGTTGAATTCAGGAGAAGAATCAACACAGATGGGGTTAATAGGCATTCCTTTTATGAAGCAGAAATAGAAAGTAGGCCCATTCTGGAAAGGACAGAGTGTGGAGTATAGCAGAGGTAAGTTATAGCCCAGCTCATGGCAATGGCCCCTGTGTCCATCTGTCCAGAAGTGTGACTCTTCTGTTACTACTCAACAAACTAACACAGATCACCAACAGCAACAACAACTATCGTGTACTTAGGTTATATACACGATTGTCAGCTGGGATATACACACTTTAGTATTATGTGGAAGTTTTTTACAAAAGATGGATCAAACATGTATATCATGAGAAAAATACATCTCAAAAACAAATTTTACTATTCAACATTTAAGAACAGAGATATCTTAGGGTTAACATTAAAAGCCTCCTTAAGTTTTAACACCTTCAAGACCTGGGATTCCATTATTAATATAGGTAACAGGTAGTTTGACACCATTTTCAAAACAAACCCATTCACTCAGCAAAGACAATATCTGGCAGAGGGATTTGTGTGACCTGGATGTTTGGAATAAAATATGTGACCATCAGTGTTCTCTTCCCTAAGAAGGTCAGAGGAAAAATTTGTGAACTGAAATCTAAGTTTGCTTTCAGGGCTTTGTATGTGTATCTGTCTTTTGGTGTAACTGCATTTTCTCTAGGTTTAACTGGAATCAGAACAAGACAATGTCAGAACTTGAAACTGAGGGAAAGGCGTGACTTTAAAAAGGAAGAAACTGAGACCCTGGGAGGTAAATGGTACAAGAGACAGCATGGTAGCATCCTGCCTGCCTGGACAGGACTTTACCCTCAGTTAAAACTGTCTACGGAGTCCTTCTTGTCTTGTCATAAACAGTGATTTATTTCTCCTCTGATCACCTTCCTGTGAAGGCCATAACGAAGGAAAAGAGCTATCGAAATTAACTTTCTTATGATACAATTAAAAAGTAATCAATGTAAATCTGTCATACAGGGAAAGCTTTTAAAAATATGCAATTGATTTATTGAAAAGACATTTGTTAAGTTTAAACATCATGAAAAGACTCTTCCCAGGACACGAGGACACAGGATATTACAATTTTATGCTAGTTTTTTTTTCATATAGAAACACAAATCCAAGTAATCTTGTCCTCCAGATCAGTTTTGTCATGTACACAGTGGAGCTATGAGCTAAATGATACCTAAAAGTCAGCTAGAAATGGCAGCAAGTCTATCATGATTGATGATATTTGTCTGTGAATTTATAGGCTTTTAATAACTTTTGTGTAATACAATTAATCTAAGGGGTAATTTCATAATTAAAATAATAAATGATTTTTACATATTGCACATGTATTTATACATACACATATGAAAAGGCAAAAGAGGATCACTACATGGTGCATGTTATGTATGCTGGCTGGTTTTATGCTAACTTTACACATGCTGAGTCATCAGGAAGGAGGGAACCTCATCCGAGAAGTGCTTCCACAATTGTAGGCAAGCCTGTTAGACATTTTCTTAATCAGGGATTGATGGGCAAGAGCCCAGTCCATTGTGGGTGGTGCCACCCCTGGTCTGATGGTCTTGGTTTCTATTAGAAAGCAGGCTGAGGAAGCTAAGAGGAGCAAGCCAGTAAGCAGCATACCCTTCATGGGCTCTGCATCAGATTCTGCCTCTAGGTTCCTGCCCTGCGTGAGTTCCTGCCCTCACTGCTTTTGATGATGAACTGTTAAATGCTTACTTTTGGTCATGGTATTTTATCTCAGAAATAATAACCATTGTAGACATGAGTTTTTCTACCCAGCCTCTTTGTTCCCAGAATAACGAATCTGAGGTTTAATTATTTATGAAAAAATGTTTAGGCCATAAGCTTGGGCTTGTTCCCTGACTAGCTCATAACTTATACAATCTCTTTATTCTATTCTATGTCTGGCACATGAGTAGTTACATCTCCTAGTTTCATATGGCTGACTTCTCAGAGTCCGGGGTGTATCTCCCTCTTGACTCTTTCCCAAAATTCCCCTTTCTCTCTGCCAGATTTCCTACCTTCTAATCCTACCTCAGCTAATAGGCCATCAGTTTTTTATAGACAGGTGATGGTTCCACACAGTATATAATAAATTCCCTCTACAAACCCCAATGAACACATTACTTTAATTGCTAGGCAGAAGTTTTGAGTTCCCCACACACCTGTGGCATGAGGGGTGCTCCATTCTTCAGCCAGCGGTATGTGGGTCTGGGTTTTCCAGTAGCCTTGCATTCCCACTGCAGAGGACTCCCGCTGTCCAGCTGGGTATCATTCAGTTTCTGTACCCAGTGTGGGTACGCTGTGAGCATGTAAAAAAGAAAGAAAAGTGAGCTCAACACTTCCACATTTACCACGTTTACCCTTCACCAAGAAAAATCCACTGTATTACTACAGATTTAGTTCTTATGTGTAATGTTCATGTAACCACAGGGGCACACATCACTATACGGGGAGCACATCACTACACAGGGGAGCACATCACTATACGGGGAGCACTTCACTACACAGGGGAGCACATCACTACACAGGAGAGTAATCACTATTACACAGTAGGGTATACCATTATCACACAGGAGAGCATGTCATTATTACACAGGAAAAAAATGTCATTATTTGTGGGGGAACACCATTATTACACAGAGGAGTACATCACTATTACGTGTGGGGGGCATGTCCTTATTACACAGGAGAGCATGTCGTTACTACACAGAAGAGCATGTCATTATACACAGGGGAGTACATCACTATTATACAGGTCGTATGTCATTACTACACAGGGGAGCACATCGTTATACAGGAGGCACATCATTCTTACATGGGGAAGGATGCCATTATTACACACCAGAGGATGTCATTGTTACACTGGGGACAAGTCATTATTATACAGCAATGTCATTATTACACAGGGGAGCACATTATTATTTTTTCTTCTCCTTTTTTCTTTCTTCTTTTTTTCAGATAGTGTTTTTTAGTGTAGCCTTGGCTGTCCTAGAACTAGCTCTTTAGACCAGGACAAGCTCACACTCACTACACACAAAACTATTTCCCAAACAACAAATAGAAATAGGACAGGATGAGTATTTTGCTTACTGAAGGTATTTCTGTAAACATAAATTATAATTTAAACACCACACACACACACACACACACACACACACACAAATACTTTAAAGCAAGTGGCTTGCTCCTCCCCATAGCTTACATGGTAGGGAGTCAGTCATTTGAAAGAATAATCCTTGTGTTAGGTGGCACATAACAGGTCCTCTTAACTGTTGCTCTGATGTGTGTGTACATGTCTGTGTAACTGTACATGTCTATGTATGTGTACATGAGAATGATTTTGAAAAACTAATTTTTGAGTTTGGATTTTACTTAGCGTTATTTTTTAGAATTTAATTAAGTTCCTTCAATATAATTTGTGAAGAAAGTTTCAAAATTTATCATTAAACATTATAGGATGGATATATATATATATATATATATATATATATATATATTGCACAAAATAAAAGTTAAATGTCTTTTCTTCACTGACTTACTTGTAAATAAGACTATTTTAAAGAAAATACTTGTGTATTCATATAGTTTGTTTGAAGCAGTCAAAGCAGAGGCATTTCATCCCATAACTCCTAGTGCTGAGCAGAGCAGCGTGCCCAGCATTAGACAGCAACATCTGTATTACCTAGTAACAGAAGCAACTCTGCACCTTGGGTGTGACTGCCTGTGTCCTCACATGCTCTTCTCAGTCAGTAGGCACAAGTTGCTTGGCAACTGACTTAAAAGAAAGGATTTTTAAGTGCCACACAAATATGCACATATGTATAAACACAGGCAGAAACACAAAGAAAATGTGGGTCATGGATGATGTTAAAAATGAAGATAAACTCCGTATTTCAAAAGTAAATCTTACTTAACGCCTGAACATCAAGGTATTTAAGAATTCCTTTTGTGACAATGTATGCTGTGCAAGGAGTTATATCCAATACAAGGTCGTCTCTGCTCTCACGGCACTTTTCGGTTGTTAGCCTTCGTTTTAACATTGCATCTATTTCCTAAACTGCTAGCTGTGCACTAATTACATGCACAAAGTGATAAGAGATGCAGTGAAATGGAACAGAAGATAGTTTTAGAAACATACAATAAATTGTAGCCTCAAAGTATTTTTTTTTTTAGTACAGCATCCTGGGAGAGTCCAGGTAATATGATGTCAGAGACATACGGTTCCTTTTAAGTTTTTCTTTGGCAGCAGATTGCAGTTAACTAAGGGAAGGGAGTGGCTTTAACTCCTAAATAGTAACACAGAGTCAGAACACATCACAACTTGGTCTGCATGGTGGGAAATTGTTCACTTACCTATAAAATGAAAATCTGGGCCAGTGACATGGCTTAAGAGGGACAGATGCTCATCCCACACTTGAGTTCGGCCCCTGTGATCACATGGTAGAAGAGCTACCTTCTGCAAATTGTCCTCTGACATCCACATGTGTTATATTGTGCATTTGAACATGTACATACACACAGACATGCACACACACACATGCTTGCACATATAAAACATACAACACATACATACATATACACACACCACACATGCATAGACATACACCCACATACATACACTGCAAACATATATACACAAATACATACAAACACACACACACACACACACATGCACACACATAAACATTCACACACATACATATAAACATAACTGCATACACAATTTAAATGAGAAAAAAATCCCAGGTTTGGTTGAATTTTTAATAAACTTTGTAACTTTCATCTGGCGTATGTTGGACCACGTCTTTTAGGGCTTAGAAAACTGAGGAGACATATGGTCTTTGAAGCAGAAAACTGTTAGAACCTCGCCAGATGCACTGTATCCTGGCTGCTTCTTATGTGATACATTTGGGCTTCAGAACCATCTCTGGGTTCCATTTTGTGATGCGGGAAGCAGATGTGCATAGAGCAAGCCATGCTTATTACCTCTCATTGTTGGGAACTCTGTAAGTCTCTCCTGACATATGCTAAGTGTTATTGGCTGCTTCTCTGTTCCTGTATCTTAAGTATTGAGGACTCAACACATTTTACTGACATAGATCAATTTTAGTGTTATGGCTCTCAGCTGTGAGCTAGAGAAAGCTAATGTACAGTGCTGGATTATATAGTTGGGGGGTGAACATAGGTTCAAGCCCCGCTTTGTGGTGCCCTTGCTGTAATCTATAACTGGAAATGAATTCCTTTACTTTAATGAGCCTCATTTGTAAGCTGTAGATGATAATTCCTATTTCAGTAGGCTGCTATGGTGATTGAACATAATAAATAGTGATTGATTCTCTGCCTCAATCTATCACCCACACATAACTTCACTTTTGATCAAATGTGAACACATATATGGCACTATTTTCAGAATAATAGATTCAAGACAAGAAAAAGTTTCCCCACAGAAACAGTTATGGCATCCTGGGTGATTTTCAGAACTAGAAATCTGTAAGCTTGTATACTTTTCAAAGGTGAATCTGTGTGTAGTTTTACTGTGGTAAACACTCTTGAAAATTCAGACATAAAAACCCTCACAATTTTGAAGAAGAAAAATAATTGCAAGCGCTTTAATATGTTAGTATCCTGTGAAGCTGGATAAGACAGTCCATAGGAAGATCCTTGTACTATAGTGAGCAAGGACGGAAATAAGAGATGAACTTTAGTCATCCATTCCATATTGGATTCTGTTCTCTTTTGTTTGTTTGTTTGGTTGGTTGCTTGGAATTTTTAAAACTCAGTTTATTATTTTTTGTGAGGGTAGAGGTTAAATCTAATACTGTCCATCTGTCAAAATAAGCTTTGTTTGACTGTTCATTTATTTATTTAACCAAAGCTAAAGGCTCAGAGTCTGCTGCTCACTTCCCACAATTCTTTATAACATCTCGTACAGTGTGCATGCTGTGTAAATATAATGCAGTGGAAATGACGGGAAGAGAAAGGTTTGTGTAAGCTTCAGGTTTGATAGAACGCCTTCTGTCCCTTACCCCACTTTCCCTGCTGGTGCCTTCAGGCCCACCACAGCTCCCCTCCCCGTTCATAAGAGTATGTGTTTTCTTGTACTCTCAAGACCTTAAAACCTCTTCTCCTTTGTTTTTATCCTCATGGCTATTTTCTCACAGCCTACATTCTGTCCATCCTTCAACCTAAGCACAGCACGTGCTTCCAACTCAATTCGTAGTAATGACTTCCTAATCTCTGTAGATATGATATCCTTGTTACTGAGTGCCACTCAGGCTAGTGTGTGACACCATGGCAATGTACAGTCTAGAACATAAGCTCTCCTGTGAAGCCCTGGCAAAGTGTAACCTAGAGCATAAGCTCTTAGGTCAAATCCTGGCAAAGTGTAACCTACAACATAAGCTCTTCTGTCAAATCCTGGCAATGCACAGCCTAGAACATAAGCTCTCATGTGAAGCCCTGGGAATGTATAACCTAGAACATTAGCTCTTGTGTCAAATCCTGGGAATGTACAGCCTAGAACATAAGCTCTTGTGTGAAGCCTGGCAATGTGCAGCCTCAAACATAAGCTCTCAGTGACTACCTGTCAGCAGTCATTGCTCAGTCTCCTGATTCACTTGTTTCATGCTGAATCCTGCAGAGTGATATTTGTATAAAAGCAATAAGCATTATAATAAGATATATTTATAATAAAAATTATCAACTGCTTCTTGAACAGCATGCTTAGTTCCAGAAAATAATATTGAAAATAACCTCAGAAAGGTTGCCTTGAAAATGCATATAATTAAACTATAGATATTAAAACATATTAAAATCAATGAAGTTGCTGCTCAGGGATTTAATGACCATATATCTACTATTTATTATCTACACCAGCACTGCAGCTATGTCCTTTCCGGGCTGCTTGAAGCAGTACAACATATGTTTATCCTAAGCATCCTGGTTACACATACATGTACATTAAATTCTATCCTACTAAAGTGTAGATACAATGTAGTGATTACCAACCCCAAATCACTGGCTGTGGGGGCACATGCTACATATTCTATATACTATGTTCTCTGTACACAGAATGCCTCACTTCCTAAGCTCCCCTTAGAACTGCTTAAGTTACGGCCACTGCTTCACTGTCTTTCTTCTGCCTCCTTTCTCTCTTCTATCGTCCCTTCAGTTACCCCCCCTCTCTCTCCTTTTCTTCTTCCTTTTTTTTTTGTTCCTCACGAGTTTCCTTCTTGTTTAATCTGTTCCTTTCATTTTAATTGAGACTGCTAACAAGCAAAATTCAATTTAATGTAGGGTGCAGCAATTTTTCTGTGACAGTTTAAAATTAGGCTTTTGGGTAAATAATCAGAAGCTAGAGGTGTCAAAGAAATTAGCCCATAAATCTACCATACATGATGCCACAGGACATTCACCTGAACAACTATATACTTTTTTTCTGAACTTCAAACCATTCCCCAAATGTAATACTTTCATTTTTGTATTTTCTTCTTGAATTCTATAGTTTTTAACTTATTTACACCACACAAGCAAACTTACTTTTCTTTTACCTTTTATTTAACAACATGGGCCTCTTCATGTTATATCATATTATATTTTAATACCAATGCTGTTATAAAAAACTAACTGCCTGCCACCAATGCTAGGTCTCATTTCTTGTCAAAATGGGCAACCTCAGAATGCAGCTTTACTATCTCACAGGCAGACCTGAAGTACAGAGCTTCTGTATGACCCCTACTACTCAAAATGGAGCCCGAATAAAACTAGAGATACAGGACAATAGCCAAGATCATGACACGCATGAGGTTACCATGGAGAGCTTCCCCAAAGACCTACATATGAAAAGTTGGTTTCCAGACTGTTGCATTGATGGGGAGGCCTGGAACCTTCAATAGTTGAGGTCTATTTGAAGTTAGGCAGTGCATTAGGAGTGTATCCAAATGGGACTCAAGCCTCTTCTCTCCCCCTTATTTGCTCTCTGCTTCCCAGCTGACGTGAAGTGAATATATTCTCCATGATGTGCAGACTCACAGCATGTGACAAGGATGAGCCACCCTGGACTTATGTCAATGAAAGCATGAGCCAGCACTAACTGTTCTTCTTTTCACGATGATTGAGGATCTCAGTATTTTGTCTTAGTAGTAGAAGGCTTACTAATATGCGTACCTGCTATTAGTCAAATATAAATGTTCACCAAGAACCTATAGGTAGGTTCATATAGACCCTACCTATGATCTCAGAAGTTTTAAATTATAGAAGTTGTGTGAACCAAGATGTTTTTGGGAGTGAAACAAGAAATTGTTTAGAATTTTCCCAAGAGGAAACAGACAGAAACTGTGGTGGCTTAGAACAAATCTAAATGTATGGCACCATGATGAAATCTGACAGGAAGGCATTCTCATTATGGGCTGGAGCGAGAGGTCACATTCTTTCAAGTTGTCTACCTGTTCTGTCAACTATACGTGGCAAACAGTGAAAACTGGCCTGGTTTTTCTGCCTTGATTACGATCTATATTTTTTAAGTTTAAAGTGATGAATCAATATCAAGTTAAAATAATTTATTTTGGCACTGTCTACAGCAATAATTACTGCCTGAGAACCAAGCAGCTGAATCAAGAAGAGACAGCAAATAAGTTAGGTCAACTAGGAACCTCAGGCTCCCCACTCTGAGTCATTCTCTTTAGGAATATACCATTCTTTAGAACAGAGATATGTGGGCCATGATTTGCAATAGTACTAAATATTCTTTAGTACCTTTTGTACATTTAAATCATAAAACACTTTTTAAATTCTTGTCTTTTTTACTAGTTTTTTTTTCTCTAAAGATGGTTAATACTCCATTCTGTCACTGTGAGGATAAAAATGTATTTCAGTGGGATATGACAAAACATTATTTTTTCTTTGTCAGCAGACTGTCAGGATTATCTGCTTTAAAAAATTATGAAGAGTTCCAAGCACTGGGTTTCATGTAAAATTAGAAACTTGTTAGACTGTAGATCACATACTAATGTTAATAGATGTATCTGCAGCCTGCAAGCTTCTGACCCATGCCTGTGTGCATCCTACAGACCTCTCAGTGTTGTGGAGGGTTAGCTTTCTTCCCGGATGCCTTTGTGCATTCAACCGTTCAAGGTTCTGATGGTTTTTAACGTCTAGCCAGAGTTTTCAGGACAGAACGTGCCTTGAACCCTCATGACCCTTTGTACATTTTCAGCTTCAATTTGAGGTTCATTTTTTCCAAGTCAATGCTTTATTGATAGCATGTGGATGAATAAAGGAAGAAAAAAGGAAGAACGGAAAAAGGAAAGAAAAAATGAAGGGAGAGAGGGAGGGATGCATGGAGAAAGAGAGATGGAGGGATGGAGGGACAGAGGGAGGAAGGGAGAAAGGAGAGAGAGAAGGAGAGAAGGGAAGGAGGGAAGGAAAGAAGTGCTCATGGTATAATCTGCCAAATAGACGAATTTCAGAAGGAGTTACTGCGGTTATAGAAAGGTTGATTTTAATTCACAGCATTTCAGAAAATTCTTTCACAGACCCCTTACAGGACATTAGGTTTGCACGAAAGGCAGTCTTGAGATGTAATGAGAGTTAGATATCATGGATGAATCAGCCATGTGCATATTCCAAGTCTGTTCCCTCTCCTAGCTGCCTTTCCTTCTCTGTGCTCTTTCTCTGTTTAGTGTTTTCAACTGGGATGTGAGCACATTATCCCTTCCCTCCCTGTGTAGGGAAATGTGAAAAGCAGATGTGTGTGACACTGGGGGACCAATGTGAGACTGGAAGAATGTCCGGACTCCTTCACCCTACTTACACATCACCTGGCTGGCTGACCGGCGTGTTTGGAAAACAAACACCCACAAGCTGCAGGAGCGATTTGTCATACAGACGTATTAGCTCAGGGCAGAGCTCAGCAAACTTCTGTGAACTGCTTGATAGCAAATATTTTAGTCTTTGCAACTCAGCGGGTCCCTGTCTCCGTTTAATTCTTCCAGAGCCAAGCAAAAGCTGGAACGGAGCATTTAGAAACAAACGGCTATTTACCTAAATCAGCAGCTAGGCAGGATTCTGTGCATGGGCATAAAATTTTTGACCCCTGAGTTGAACCAAGAGCTAAAATAAGTTTATGCCACTTATAAAATGAAATTTGAGTTTATCAGCTGTTAGTTTGATTCAAATGTTTCATTTTTATGGTTATAAACTCCCAATCATCTACAAAGAGGCTAAAAATTCCTTGTTTATTTTTCTTTAAAATATTTTTATGTGTAAGCTCATTTTTCATGATATTTCCTATACCAAAAAAAGTTTACAAATTATTACTTGGATTTATTTCACAGTGCTAAATGAAAAATGTTTGGTTCAATTTACATTTTCTGTCTTACCCTTGTCTTTTTGTCTTACAAAAGCTTTGTACTCTTCTGAGACACTTACTGTATATTTGTAGCTGTCCACGAAAAGAGTTTTTCCCACGGGAGTTTTCAGCTGTGCATTCGTATATCCCGGCATCTTCCAGCTGCAGGTTGGGGATCTCCAGCACTGCCTGGGATTTCCTCAGTCTGGACTTACTGGGAATGTAACCGTTAACCTTCATCCAAGTGATTGTTGGAACAGGGCTACAATGGGGAACAAAGGCTCTGTTAATATACCTCCCACTATTAGAAACATGGATTCAGTTATCTGGTAATTTAAGCACTTAATAGGCTGAGCACAATAAAATGTAATCACAATTAGGGCCGCGTGCCAGCAGATACAAGTTGCTTTCCACGTGGCTGTTATATGATCAGAGAATCACATCTTTCTCTTTCAGACTGCAAGAAATTCTTCGGAAGCCCGCCAGTATTTTCTAAATGTAAACGGTTTATTTTTAGGTAATAAATTACTTTGATAAAATAGCTAACAGTTATAGAGCAAGAGTCAAACAAAAGACTTGGGAATTCAATAGGACACCTTGTCTGCCCTCACCTGTAGCAAATCTGTTTTCTGTAGCATTGTCCACCGGATCCTTGTAACATGTTTCTACCTACAATGAGCCATTTAGGTTTTTTGTTTGTTTGTTTTTAATATCAAGCATTTATATTTTCTATTTAATAACAAAGGTCTCATTCAATAAATATTAGCTTTCCTTTTCTCATTCATAGCTGCATATAACTCCATTATATGAAAATATGGGTCCACTGCCCCTCATAACTTGGGGTTCAGGAGAGCATTGCTTTCATTTGATGCTTTTTTCTCATATAGAGGTCCTGTTTCATTGCTCTGTTGCTGTCATGGTTTGCAGGAGATTTTCACCAAAGCTGGATTAATGGATCAAAGGGCATGCCCATTTTTTATTTTAATAAGTACTAGCATACTGCTTTCCCAAATACAGTGGCAGTAGCTATCTCTATCAGTAATGTATGATACCTTTCCCCTGTCTCCTTGTCAGGATTGTATGAGATTAATTTAGTTAAATACAAGACTTGTATAGGTTGAAACCAGACAAAAATCCCAGCATTAAAAAAGAAGTGGACACAAAGGTGTATTTCTAACAAAGAAGCTATATTAATTTCCACTGGCAAAAGACTACCAGTTTTCTCCAATGCAGTGCCCACACTCCAGTACAGGCCCCATGCCCAGAAGTTGTTGGCTAACACTAAAAGAAATCTGTTTTTTCTTTTTTATATTTTGTCTCACTGCAATTTTTGATTTGTTTCTTTGACATTTTTTAGAGACAGGGACAGAAACAGAGACAGAGACTGAGAAAGAGACAGAAGAGAGACAGATGAAGGTGTGTAAGAAGGTAGAGGGATCTGGAGGAGTTGGGCACGAGAAAATAATATGATCAAAATATACTGTATAAAATATTTAAATAGCAATTGTTTCTTGGGAAAAGTATGAAGTTTTTATGTAGTTTTTTTATAAACTAATTTGTTTCAGCTTTTTCTTTTTTATCTGAAAACACCACTAAATTGTACATACACATTATTTAAAATTAATTTTTAATATTGTTTACTTTTAGACCATTGTTTAAAAAAATAAAAGTTTAAATTTTGTTTCTAAATATACTCAGGTTACGTGTACATGTGTGTGTAATATATATATACATATATATGTATACATATAGTTAAATACAATAATAATTACTGAAGAGATAATGAACTTGGGGACGAGGACTCTTGTGAGTACACTTCTCATTGTAAGAAATTCTGCAAAAGAAATTATTAAATGAAATTTGCCTGTTATCAATCCTTCTCCCTGTGTGGCTGTTATCATATCGTGGTTTCTAAGACAGGATCTCAGAAGTATGTTTTCTCTGGGCTATGTTTTTTTTTTTCCTGAGTTCTGAACCTGCTCATATTTAGAAAATGATTTCAAAAGTGAAGTTTAGGTCAATATTTTCACAGATATTTTATGGTAATTTTAAAACTGTCCTATAGCATTTGGCAATCATCCAACTGAACGATAGCACTGCCTTCATGGGATATAGGGATGGGATTCATAATTCCAGCAATGCTAAGGATGCCCTGGTGGCTGACAATGGTTGACTGCCTACCTTCTCGAACGCAAGCTCATGCACTGGAATCTATTCTATGGTCAGCTCTGGTTCACTGACTTACCTCTTACCGTCTATATGCTACACTTTTTCAATGAAGCTTATGTATTTCCCAATTTTCTTTCTCTCCTCCTTGTTCAGTATGGTCTGACCCAGAAACACACTTCCTCTTGTCTCCAATCTCCTTCCTCAGCCCAGCTCTAGTTTGTATGGCCAGCTAGATGAGGCCACTCACCCAGTCCCTTTAATAACAAAGCACTTTGCATCCTAAATGAATGTCCCATAACATTCAGCTCTAAATTATATATGGTGGATATAGAGGACTTTTAGAAAGTACTCTCAAACAAAATGTTTTCTCTTACAGGAATGATAGCAGTATTTCTCTCTCTCTCTCTCTCTCTCTCTCTCTCTCTCTGTCTCTCTCTCTCTCTCTCTCTCTCTGTCTCTCTCTCTCTCTCTCTGTCTCTCTCTCTCTGTCTCTCTGTCTCTGTCTCTGTCTCTCTCTGTGTGTGTGTGTGTGTGTGTGTGTGTGTGTGTGTGTGTAAGGGGAATTGGCACGAGTAATGAAATCCAGGTCCCTGAGCAGGCTAGGAAACACAAATACCATGTCACAACTCTAATATAAGGATTCCCTCACATGCCGGATGACCAATTGCATCGGGTTTGTTTCTCTGAGGGTTCACATTCCTGTTCTGTCATATGCTATATGAAAACAATCATTATTTACACTTTGCTTAGGTTTTCAGTTGTTTTCAGCTGAGATGTAGTTTGATAATTGTGGCCCTAACATGTTTATCAATGGAAGTCCAAATTTCTTTAAATTTGATAAAAATAATTTTGATCATAATTCAAGGTCTATTAAAGAAAACATATGTGCATGTGTGTGTGTGTGTGTGTGTGTGTATTTCTGTGTGTGTGTACTTATGTATTAACTACATGAATACCATGGGAAAAATTTAAAAACACAAAAAGGTTGAGAAATACAAGCAAATCACAAATGACCTCAGGGCTTATAAAATAAACCTAGATATTCAAAAATCAAAAATAAATAAAAAACATAATAGATTTCTGTGCATATGTTCTAAAATAATTTCCTTAAACAAATATAAAGATAGTGAACACATATTTCAGGTTCTTGGCTGTCTGCTCTGGAAGATGGAATGAAGGATGCTAAAAGGCCACACAGTCACTTTTGGTATTTCCCTAACCTTTGGAACTGCTTTGTTCCCACGCACCTTTCTCAGTTCATAGATCCTTTAAAATCTGGCTGCTGAGATGGCTCAACAGTAAAAAGCACCAAGACTTGATGATTTGGGTTCAGTCCACGAGACACATGATGGAAGGGAAGAATTGACATTTGTTTTCCTATGACCTGTATATGTATGTCAGGGAGCATGTGCTCCCTCCTACATAAATAAATATACATCAAGAATATAATATTAAATAAAAATTTATATAAGGCAGCCTTTTCTGTCTCTATTTTTCACTTATATATCCTAAATATATTTTCCATCTTTTTCCAAATATAAACTTCAGTATACATCTTATTTTCATATCTATAAATTTTTTATTATTTTTATTTTTTTACTATTTTTTTATAACCATTGTGTGATGGCGTCTCTGGCAGCACAGTGGAGTGAGCCTTTGGAAGAAATATGTAAAATAACTGCAGAAAAATCATTCATATTTTACCATTATTCATGTACTGGTTTCAATTAACACTAGAGGACAAAGGATTTTGAACATTTCATATATAGTTCTTCGTTTTAGGCTGGTGACCTCATCCACGCACAAATACTTGCAAAGACAGTATTTTCATATTAGTTACCTTCTGTAATTTTAAAATCTGAATTTCTATATTTTCCTGAGAGTAAAAGTCCAAGTTACTTAGTGAGCGTTTCTTTGTATCATTTCTTCCTTAGTTTGTAAGTTGTAGCACAATAAGTGAGATTATACACGAAGTAAACTATATTCCTGGTTATATACAAAAAGACACACAGCCTTAACCTGTTGAAAGCAGAATTAAAATTGCCAGAGGCTGAATGCCTTGATTCTTAGTAGTTAATCCACCGACTACTGTCTGAGCCATTTCAAACTATTTTATTAAGACGCAAAATTATCCCCATTTCTTTGAGTGTGATTATTTAATCTATCTGGGAAGGGGATTTTTCATAAATGGGAGAATGCATGACAAAAAGAACTCTAAAGTTATGGGGGTGAGGCAGGAAGCAATCCAGAATGCGGTACACAGGAGGGAAGACTTGGCAGTGAGAGGGACAAGGATCTTGATGCTAACAAAGAACGGAGATGAATCCAACAGTCAGCAGGGCTTCTGGACTTAGAGGTTTAGAGCCACCTGTGTAGTGCAGTGAGCCAGTGCCCTTATCCAGGTGCTCAGTCTTGCAGTAAAGCTTTACAAGGTCCTTGCTGTTTGTCCAGACAGCATTTGAAATGAATAATGAAAGGGATGTTGAAGATCCTCAAGGTATTTATGAGTCCATGACAAAAAAACAACAACAAACCTGCATGAATCAAATACAGAAATAGGATATAAAGTTAACTTGGATAAGACGACCAACCTAAGGTGGAGGAAGAAGTAATTTCTCCACAGGAGGTATGTGAGGGAGACTTGACAGACAGAGACAGTTTCCCCTGCAAGGGGGTAGGGGACCAGTTCTGGATATCCATGTACGTGAGCTAGCACCTGTGTATGTAAAAGATGTTGGCACTTCGAATACATTAGTGGGTGGAGTCCCCTAACAGCTGGACTGGGGGATGTTTCTGACTCTGTTACTTGCCATTGGATCTCTTTCCCCTAACTATACTGCCTGATTGAACCTCTGTGGGAGACTATGTGCTTAGTTTTTCTGGAACTAGATATCCCAGGGTAGGGTAGGACCCAAGAGGGACTTCACCTTCTCTGATGAGAAGGGGAGGGAGTAATTGGGAGGAGGGATTTGTAAGGGTGGGACAGGGAGGAGAGAAGGGTGGGGGCTGCAATTAAGATGTAAAGTGAATAATAAATTAATGAAACAAAAATTTATCTCAGGGCGCTGTAATATTTTCATGAATTTCATGTTG